CTTCTTCTTCTTCTTCCTCTTCCTCTTCTTCCTCCTCCTCCTCCTCCTCCTCCTCCTCTTCCTTCTTCCTTCTTCCTTCTTCCTTCTTCCTTCTTTCTTCTTTCTTCTTTCTTCTTCCATATCCATCATTGAACATTGGCGATCATGTTGGCGATCCTATTTTTATCAACAGCTGGACAAAAAGTGCTGTTGAGTTTTGTCCAGACTGGTCCCTTAGATTTTGAAGCCATGATGTTCTTCTTCTGCCTGGATCTCATTTGCCTTTAATCTTTCCCTGGAGGATTAAGTGATGTATGGCGTATTTTTCCGGGTGTTGCATCCCATGTCCAAAATATTCAAACATTCACTTTTTTATGGTTTTGATGATTTCCCTTGGCTTTCCCAGGCAGCTTATCCCCTCCTCATTTCTGATTTTGTCAACCCAGCTTATACATATCAGCCGCCTGTAAAATCCACATTTCAAGTGCTTCTGGTCTCTTCAAGTGGCTTTCTGTCAGAGACCAACTCTCCACTCTGTAGAGCAGGATAGAAAACATGCAGCATCTGATTTTCAACCTTAGGCTTATGTCGTGAATCCAGAAGAGCTTGATCAATTGGTTAAAAATAACCCAAGTGATACACTTAAAAAGAAAAATGTGTTTCTCTTTTTTCAGACAAAATATTAACATGTATAATTCACAACCACATTTGAATAATGGGTGTTTTAAAAGCAGGGTGAGGATATTAATGGATGACATTTTTAGTATTCTGAAGCGACCACACCAAAGCATTTTTCCGATTCCATTTCCCCCCTTTTAACCAAGACACCGGAGAACATTTCCACCACCCACTACGATAAGTTAAATGGCTCGGACCGCAGTAGATATTAATTAGCTCTAGGTTCTGATTTTCCACTGTGGATAAGCGGTTGCCATTCAGTGAGATGAAACAAAGAGCTGCAAATGCGGCTCTCGTTGTATAGGAGAAAATTCCTGCCTGAAATTTGAAAAGCTGGTTTTCCTTGGCTACGGGTACTTCAAGATAATTCAGAGGCAGAAACAGCAATAAAAAGTGGTTTTTTTTTTTTCCAAAATAAAATAAAATAAAAATAAACTGGCATCTACCTCCCCCAAAAGAGAGAAAAACTATGCAGGCATTCCTAGCTGACCTGTAATCAGAAAGCAAACGAGTATAAATTTTAGATGGGCACCTGGAGAAATCTAAGTATGAATAAGTGGGACTGGAACAAGAAGCAGAGAGCCAATTACAGAGAAAAAAAATCAAAGACTAAAGGTGATTAAATATTCATTGGAGAGCCTTGCATTGCTTCAAAAGGAAGATTTGCATATAAGAGGCCCCAGCTGCAATTGCTAGCATCTCCAGGAAAGGTCTTCTAAAAAGCTTGAATCTGAAATAACGTTCAGCGGGGATTTCACTGCACTTTGAGCTGTTTCCTAGCAGAAAAAAGGACCAACCGACTTTAAGCAGAGAGACTGGGTGAGAAGGAGATGCTATGGCAATATATATATACTAGTTCGATATCTGTCAGGGGTGGGATTCAAAATTTTTAACAACCAGTTCTGTGGGCGTGGCTTAGGTGGTGGGCGTGGCTTGGAGGTCATGTGACTGGGTGGACGTGGCTTGGTGGTCATGTTATTGGTTGGGTGTGGCCAACTCAATATCACTCACATCGAGGCACGCATCTCCTTGCCTGGTCTCTCATGACTGTGGGGATGCTGCAACAGTCGTAAGTGTGAAAAATGGTCCTAAGTCACTTTTTTCAGTGCCATTGTAACTTTGAATGGTCACTCCACACAAGCAAAGTACCAGCAAAGGAGGGGGGAAAAAAACTCCAGAGATGTTCCTGAGACAGGAAGTCTAGTCCTGCCAAGAATGTAATAAGGGTTAGCGGAGAGGCAGTTTCTGTAAGCAACACCAGAATGTTTCCTTCCTGCCTTCCTTACAGGATTAGGCCAGTAATTTCTTCTAACAACCGGTTCTCTGAACTGCTTAGAATGTTAACAACCAGTTCTAGCGATTAGGTGCAAACTGGTAGAATCCCACCCCTGATATCTGTGCTTCGCTATGAAACTATGTGATCGGGCTTAGTATTTGGGGAGGAAAATAAGGGGGGGAAATTTTGCCTCTGCCTACCAGCATCCATCGGTATTCATCTTGGCTAGCGTCCTGTCAGTCAGTGTGTGAGGGAGTTGAGTATTTGCTGTGTGAGCACGAAGGAGACGGCAAGGAGCCTGGGCGTGGCTTAGCTCAATTGTTCTGTACTAAAACTGCTTGGTGCTGTGAAACTAAAACTGAAACTGAAATTCCTCTCCTCTGCTTGTGTTTTGTATTTGGGACAGGTTTCTTTTCAGGGGGAGAGGGGGAGTAGAACTCCTTAGCATCAGAGCGTGTTAATAATAATAATATAGGAAATGCTAATACTCTGATGGTCATTTAAAAAATCCTTTCTTAGCGAGCACCTAGAAGCCAAGAGGAACATACGTGCCAAATTTCAAGTTAGTAGGCTTTACGATTCTGGAGATTTTGTGATGATGCGTGAGTGGTATTCCGCTTTTGTAGATATAGATATATTTTCCAAAATTCAGAATGGGAGATCACTGCTCCAGGACAAGACCTTACATGCATCCTTGATGTTGGTCTTCATATTATAGATCTAGGAGGACATATTCTATGGCAAGGGTCTTCAAATATTTCTGAGTTTGTGGACCGGCAGGTGGTGGGAAGAAGGGAAGCTTCTACACAAACAGCAGGCATGCACTCACAGGTCCATTTATGCAAGTGGCAGATGCACCTGACATTGTCACTATTGGAGCTTCCCACACAAACATGAGCGCCCGCCATTCGTGCAATGGAACTTCCCACATCTGTGCCTTGCAGGGCCCTGTTCCAAAAGGGCTGAGGAAAGTTAGCACCCAACCCTCCTAGAAGAATGAAGTATTTTAGGAAATATTAAAAAGACAGAATATTATATTTCCCTGGATGAGAAAAGGCGAAACATGCTTCTAAAGACAGAAATTCAGAGCCATAGTTCCCTGCCCCTAAGCTGATGCTAAGCTGAAGCCAGCTTTTAGAAATGCAAATTTGATAATCCATTCAAGACATGATATTTTGAACAAAGGTATAATGGTAGGGTTAGTCCATCACTCAAGATCCAAACCAGGACAAAGCCATTAAAACACAACAGGAATTGCCCACAGAACACAAATCTGTTCATTACATCATCACCCAGCAAGGTTCAACCAAACATATCTCAGACAACCTCAGCTATGACCCCCTGGGAGTCTGACAACCAATAGAATACATGCTTTCGCCGCAGGAACAGGAAGCTCAAGGGCTAGACCCAAGAGAGGGTATAAATAACCCTCACTCTCCACTCCATGTGCTCAGCTGTCCAGGACCTCAAACCCATGTGGTCCTGTCCACCAATAAACTATATTGCCAATCAGCCTCCATGTTTCCAGTGTCTTTCTCCCCACTTGGAACAGAACCCAGATGGATATTTCTTCCAACAGGGCCATGGTCCGGTACCAGGCTGTGGCCCTGGAGTTGGGGACCCCTGTTTTACAGAGTCAACCTTCCCAGAACCAAGAGAAAAATCTCTAACAATACAGATTTTTTCCTCTAGTCTATTCCCCAGATAGAACTACCATGGAACAATCCTTTTTTTTATATGATGTTTTATAATATGGATCTGAGATATTGAATAAACAATAGCTGCAGGCTTCAAGATTAAACTTGATTCTACGGTATCTAAATTAAAATAACCTGGATGCAAAGTGGATTTGCCTCTCCTGTATTCTACTCTTAATGTTGGCTCTGGCACTTTTTAATACTATTACCAAGAGGGCATGGCTGATTTCCAGAAATTGCTTGTGCCACTGTCTACACACGGTGACAAACAGCCAGAAGAATTTTCAAGAAGTAGGACATGTGATAGTTTGGCTCAAAGCTGCTCCAATCCTCGTCTTCAAAATTTCCCAGGTGCTCTTCCCCTCATGTCATCCCCAGTTCTTTTTTCTCCAGACAATGGCGAGGGAGTCAACGGGCGAAGCAAGATTGCCTTAACAACCATATGAGTCACTTAATTGCAGTGAATCACTTATTAGCCGTGGCCAAAAAGGTCACAACGTGAGGTTAAAATTTGCTTAAGAACTGCTTACTTTGCAATAGAAGTGTTGGGCTCAACATTCCTGGAGCTGCCCATATTAGAATCAATGCTATTATGTCTGCAAAAGGGATGATGAAGGAAGGGATTGGTGAGCTGCTGAAGGCAAAAGGCTCTTCTGTGTAGTCTAACCAGGTGGGGGAGAGAGAGAGACAGAGAGACAGAGCGAGAGATGGGGGGGGGGGGGAACCCTTTTGGTGCAAAATGCAAACTGAACGTGGGCTCTTGACATCCGTGGCTTTACAGGTGACAGATGCAGTGCGATGGTGTATTTGTCTAGTCAGGCAAAGTGTGTCCATTCAAGGACTCTACATACAGCCAGGGTTGCATCATTATGGCGCTCGTCCTTACTTTGTAGAATTTGATTTATTGCCGGCCAACCAGTCAGAGGCACTGGCTGTAAATGTCCTTCTCTGACTCCTTTGACTCATCCATCATTCTAAGATAATGCGCTGTTGGTTGGAAGGCTTCCTTTGAAATCGCCAATAACAGCATATGAGCGCACTACATGCATGGTATATTTTCGTTAGCTGATTGCTGAACTGTCCTTGTGGAGTGCTGCTCAAAATCCATCAAACGTTTTGAGGGGAGAAAAATTGAGATCGGGGTGTCCAGCCTTGGCCACTTTAAAACCTGTGGAATTCAATGTTTGAGCAGGAGGTTGAAGACCAGCCAGGTCCCTTCCAACTCTGTTATTATTCTGTTACTGCGGGAGTCTAGTATTGTTGTGGTTAGCCGGCAGCAGGTGGGGATGGCTGAGGAGAGCGAGGACTCAGAGGAGGGGCCAGGACCATTAGGGAGTGGACTGCTGCCTTCAGAGATTGTGGGGGCTGGCAGTAGTGATGAGGAGGTTCCCGAGGAGCCTGTGCCAAGTGCGCATGCATGCAGGATTGCTCACAGGAAAGAGCAGCTACAACAGCATGGGTGACTCGGGAGTAAGGCTGCAAGGTAATGGCCCCTCCTTCAAGAAGATAAAAGCCAGCTGTGAAGCGAACGTTCTTTGCAAGAAGCAAAGACGTTTTGAAACTCAGCCTCATGGACATTACAGTATTTTAAGTTGGTATTTGAAGACTCTTGTGTTGTGAAATATTTCTTATATGTTATTCTTGGCAGACTAGCACAGTTTTGGCAAAACTTGTGCTTATCAAAGTTAATTAGTTTGCAGCAGCCTTTTAACCGGGGATTCGCAAGAATCATTAAAAGGTTTCTGTTCTCTTTGGTTATTATTTGTCTTATTAGAAAAGGGTTTGGATCAGAACACGTATTCACCTGTTTCATCAATAAGCTATGACACAACACCTAATAGAAACCCACTGATTAAGTTTTCACATTCATAGCTTGCAGAGAAGAGAACAGCCAGGTGAGTGGACCAGAGACCAAATGATAAGTCCATTTTTGGAATTGCTGAAGGAATTGCTGTCCAGAATAGTATAGGCTCTCCTGCTTGAGTGGGGGGGGGGGTTGGACTAGAAGATCTCCAAGGTCCCTTCCATCTCTGTTATTCTCTTATTCTGAAGGACCAGGCTGGGAGCAAATAATCCCGGAGAATATACATATGATTGCTAAGAGTTAATAATCCATTAATCAATTAAACCCACCACAGTCAATCAATCAAATGATTTTCCAATGTTTTGTTGGTCAAATGTGATAGCCCTAATTTTCTTTATCACTACTTCATGCTAACTTTTCTTTCCTTCTTTAAAAACAATTATTTACTTTGTTATCGCCAGTACTACATGTAGCAATTTATTCAGAACAAGCCATCCTCTTAAACCTTTGGCAACTGTTTATGTTAAATGTTGAAAAGCTAAGAATCTGGATATATCTACTAAAAAGGCACTTGTTCTGTCAAGTGACTTTTCACCCACCTATCATTAATTTGGATGTTTTCATTTTTAAAAGAAACATTGAATGTAGAACTTAATCCCAAAGCATTACCAGATGACACACCGTTTATTTTGAGATGAGATTCATATAATATTTAGATTATTTTGCATTACTGTGGGTAAAAAAAGACAACTATTTATTGAAATAGGACTAGTTAAGCACGACAGGCATCCAAAGCTGTTTCCAAGTACTTTTATGCAACCAAGAAATAATGAACTATAATTATTTTTCACCCGATGAGACTCACAAGTTGATTTTCAACAGGCATCATTTTCTGAAGATTCATGTGATAGTTAGAAAAGATTTATATGTACCAGAATGGTTTATTGCATGATGTTTAGGAAATACATCATTACTGAAAGATGGAACTTGCTTTAGATCACGTTCCATATGTTAGGATCAGCCATGCTAGACATGGAAAACTAATTTGCAAAGCCACTGAAGAAAGCCAAGGCATATTATAAATTCATGAGGCTCCTGGATTCCTTTATTCATATCTTGTTCCATTTCTGCATATGCCCATCCATCAATTCTTTTCCCAAACGTACCAAAAGGCAAGATGAGAAACAATTGATGGAAACTAACCAAGGAGAGAAGCAGCCTAGAACCAAGAAGAAATTTCCTAATAGTGAGAACAATAAAATGGTGGAACAGCTTGCCTTTGGAAGTTGTGGTAGCTCCATCACTGGAGGCTTTCAAGAAGAGACTGGACACAGATTTGTCTGAAATGGTGTAGGGTCTCCTGCTTGAGCCAGGAGTTTGAACTAGAAGACTTCCAAGATCTCTTCCAACTCTGATATTCTTCCATCTCATTTTTATATTGCTCTACGTTGTTGAAGCACACTGAATATATATTAATGGCATGCAGAAAAATTATCCTGCAATTCTTCTATCTACCTTCCTCAGTTTCATGAAACAGAATTTGTTTTGGAGAGGTTGAGAGAGACAGAGAGCGGGAAGAATTCAGCTTAGCTTTCCCAGACTAGACAAGCTTGACTGGCTGCTACCGCCTAGCTTGGTGTTGTTGTTCCATAGAGTATTAAACCTTAGTCTAATCCCGCATGCGACATTTTTATGTTCAAAATGTGTGGCATTGATAGGAGATCGTCCAAGGAAGAATGATCCAACCTGTTTTCTGCAGATGAAGTCAAAACCATAGAAACTTTCCCATACCACATAAGGATGATTGAAAGAACAGATCCATATTTACCTGCCAGAGCTTGCAAGTGGGTGCAGGAAATGTATCCTACAATTCTTTGGTCCTGAGGTGTACTTCCCACTTGCACCTGGAAGATTGGAAGGAGAGAGAGGGAGAGGGAGAGAGGGAGAGAGAGAGAGAGAGAGAGAGAATAGTTAGTGAGATATTTGGTCTCCATCTAACCTCAAAACCCAATGATCAAACACAAGATCTGTTTTATTTTACACGAGCAGATCCATTCTCAAGGTAGAACCACACAGCAAGGGAATAGACGTGTCTGAAATTAATGGCATTAAAATATGGGTGAACATTTGTCTGCTTTAAAAATAGCATCTTCTTTTCTCAATATTTTCATACAACAAAAAGGACTCAATTTTGCTTTTAAAAGAAGGACTGTGTTTACAAGTTAAATAGTTAGCAACAATATATTAATCACTTACAAACAACTGCCTATTTTCCAGAAAAGGGTTGCAAAGCAGCACATTTGATCACTTTCAACAGGGTGCCAAGAGGGAACAATCAGAAAAAGATTAGGCTGGAAAGTGATCCAGTCAGAAGGCATATCTTGTTTCTAGATGTGCACATGAGGGACATTTGGCTTTTGCTTCCATTTAATTTTACTTTGGAGAGGATTGAGGTAGCTGAGCCCATAAGTAGTAAATGGTCTTGACATCAGATATGCCTTTTGACAACTAGCTTCAGCATTTATGCCCTCTGGCAACTACAAAGATATTAGTCAGGCCCTCTGGCTCTTGTTCTCAATTTGCCAGAACAGATTTTTTTTTTAGAATTTCATATTCAATCCCTGCCATGGTATCGCTTTCCCAGAATGCTCTGGATCTTTCTCCACCAGGAGATTGTGGGAGATTTAAAATGGCAACTTGTAGCTGTCTACCTTGATCACCACGACATAAAAAAAGATGTTGAAACTCTTGAAAAAATGCACAGAACAGCAACAAAGATGATTAGTGGCCTGGAAGCTAAAACATACAAAACGGTTGTAGGAATTTTAATGAAAAGAAGGACTAGGGGAGACATGATAGCAGTCTTCCAATATCTCAGGGGCTTCCCCAAAGAAGAGGGAGTCAAGCTATTCTCCAAAGCACCTGAAGGCAGGACAAGAAGCAACGAGTGGAAACTCATTAAGGGGAGAAGCAACCTAGAACTAAGGAGGAATTTCCTGACTGTTAGAACCATCTATCAATGGAACGGCTCACCTCCAGAAGTTGTGGGTGCTTCACTGGAGGTTTTTAAGAAGAGGTTGGACAATCATTTGTTCGAAATGGTGTAGCATTTCCTGGTTGAGCAGGGGGTTAGTCTTGAAGACCTCGAAGCCCCCTTCCAATTCTGTTATTCTGATTAATCTCCCCTTTCAGCTCAAAGCTATCCCAAGAAAGCATGACAAAGGGCTGTTGAAGCTGGAATTAGCCTTGCTGTGTCTTCATATAGCAACAAATATGTTGGGACTGCAATTCCCATCTACTACCAGTTCCATTCATGTTGATTGGAGCATAAATGATTTACTGAAGACTGTACACAAGAATCTGGGGACTAATGCTCAGCATTACACTGGTGCGAGATGAGGGACAACAGAATTCAAGGGTATGTGTGGACTTGGATTGATTATAGCAAGGCAAGGACTCTAAACTAATGATGCCTTTAACTCCAACTCCCAGCTCTGCCTGTTCTTCTTCTACATCTACTCTCTTGGGTGAGAATTATAGGATATGTAGTCTTAATATATCCAGGGTGTCACTGGTGGGGAAAATCTGACAGTATAGAAGTCAAAGAATTGCCCATACTGAATTTTACCTCCAGGTAGCACTTAGACTCAGAAAAACCAACTCCCGTGTTAATAAGTTCAATCTAATAGTATTTCTCCACTTGAGCTTTTTTCTGTATGTAAAATTTCCCTGCATTGTCTGGATTTAATTCTGCAATCAGTTTCTCTGAGTATTGGCCACTATTGTTGTATGGCTTTCATCTGGTTTCCCTCCCTATTCCCACTTAAAATTCAAACAACCACAACATAACACAACAATAGATTGACTTTGGAATGGTAATATGAGACGACAATTTTCTTTTTAGGCATAAGGGAAAAATGCTCTGGCATAAGAGAAAAATTGTGTTATGGACTGTTCTGAAATTTGTTCACAATGCTTGAAAAGGCTTTTGGCCTTTGTCAATAGGGAGATCGCTTCAACCTTGCACTGGGAAATTCATGGCAAGTTTCAGGGGTCAATTCCGGGGTGAGATTTTTAGATTAATACAATATTTTGTATAATTCTTAAAGATCAGAATCATCCAAGTCATGGTATTTCCTATGACACACTATGGTGGTGAAAGTTGTACTTTGAATTAGCAGAACAGGAAGTGAATGGATGCTGTTGAACTTTGGTGTTGGAGGAGATTCCTGAGAATACTGTGGAGAGAACAAACTGATAGATCATTGAACAAATAAACCCAGAGTTCTCACTTGAGGAGACATTATGTGAAGATCTAGTTCTCTGGAGAAGGCCCCGAAGCTTGAAAAGGGGGTAGGAAAGAGAAGAAGAGAACAACCAGCAGAAAGGAAGATAAACTGAGTTAGGGAGATGATCAATACACTAATGGAAGACATGAAGGACCAGAAGAGGAAATATTGTCATGGAGGTCACTAGAGTCAAAAATGACTTGATGGTACATAATCATCATCTTAACCCTTCTTCAGCCTTTTCTTCTAAAAAGTGGTACCTCCAAGTGTCACTCAAACTATGAATACATTTAAAACAATGTAGGGGCAGAGTTTTATGGAAAACTGGATTGGGACTTGATTGACTCATTCCTACGATGGTTCCGTGAAATTCTCTCATCTCCAACCAAAATTGTCTCCCTTTGTGTTTGTTTAATAGAATAACAGAGGTAGAAGGGACCTTGGAGATCTGCTAGTCCAGCCCCCCACCCACCACTAATGTAATTGGCCTCGGAAAGAGGGTATAAACTCCTCCATAAATTTTTGTTACTCCTTAAACCTTTAGGCTGGTTACAAGCCTTCTTCTATCAGCTCTCTAAGACTTAAGAGATCCCTGAAATGGCTATCAAATTGCACCTTGAAATGCAAAATAGTATCTTTTGCTGTTGTATCAGATGGACGCTTTGATGGCAGCTGCAGGAGAGACCCCATTTTGCATGCTAATCAAATCAAATAGGTTCCCCCCCATCTTATAATTAGAGCCAAGAATAATCTTGACATCAATGAGATCTTTATCATCTTTATCAAAAATGCTAAAGATGATAAATGATTCAAGGAAGATAAAGGTTGTGGAACCTAAATCGTATGATGAATGGAAACTAGATATATCTAGCTATCAAACAGAAAGATTAGTGGGAAAATGATAATTGTCTTCCAGTAGTTGAGGGGCCATCACTGTTGTGGCCCGCCAGTGGCCAGAGGATCTGGCGGCAGACTTGGATAGTGAGGAGGTTGGGGAGGAACATGGGTCAGTCCTGGAGTCTGGGGAAGGCTCTGCGTCGAAGGCAGAGATAGAGCCAGGGGCATTCGACAGTTAATCAGCTGCCTTCGGAGTCGGAGATCAGTGAGGCAGAAGAACAGCTGGAGCCTGTTCCCAGTGTGCGCATGCGCAGAGCTGCCAGAAGAAGGGAACAGCTGAGGAACAAGGGTTGACTTGGGAGAAAAGCCACAGGTGGATGGTGAATGGCCCTCCCATAAAAAATAAAGAGGAGCAAAAGGAGAATGGTGTTTGCAGGAGACAATTAGTTCAGTTCATTAGAGTGAAGATCTGTTCCTGACTTCTTGCCAAGTAATTGCTGCTACAGTGTGGCATTTGGAAGATATTGGCCTGGCAACTCTCCAGCCTGATAAAGGTCTGTAGTTGAGAAATCTTATGGAAGATTGTTCACCGGGACTTTGCTGTAGAGGAATTCCCTTTAACCTAAATAAAAAGGGGTTTTATTGGGACAAGGAGTTTGCTTCATGATCTTGGGAAGCCTAGGTCAGAACAGTCACAGAGGAAGAGGGGATTGACTTATTTTCCAAAGCAGGGGTCTCCAACCTTGGCAACTTTAAGACTTGTGGACTTCAACTCCCATAATTCCTTAGCCAGCTTTGCTGGTTGAGGAATTCTGGGAGTTGAAGTCCACAAGTCTTAAAGTTGACAAGGTTGGAGACCCCTGTTCCAAAGCACCAGAGGGCAGGATAGGAAGTAATGGGTGGAAGTGTGTCAAAAAGAGATCCAATCTAGAAGTAAGCAGAAATGTCCTGAAAGGGAAAACAATTAATGGAACAGCTTCCCTCCTAGAATTGTGGGTGCTCCATTGCTGGAAGTTTTTAGAAATAGATTCAACAACCACTTGAGCTAAATGGCATACAGTCCTATCCTACCTTGAGCAGGGATTTGGACAAGAAGACCTCCCAAGCCCTATGATTCCGTGTTCTTCTATGTTTAAACAGGATGCAACCACATGTAGGGTGCTTTGCATCGCCTTTAATTTAATGCATAGAGTTTGGTTTTTGTGTACGTTTTCATCCTCCAGATTGTATTCCAGGGATTGTAACTTTAGAAAGGAGACCATTTCTAGGATGCATATTTCTCTAGCAAAGCTGCACAGTGGGAGCTGAGTGAGCCTTTCTGGAGAGTTGTGTGGCAAAGCCATTATGGCACCGGCTAAAATACACACACACACACACACACACACACACACACACACACACACACACA